ATAAGCGGCCTTTCTCAAGGGATTATTTGAAGACCAAATGAGGTAATCAGGTGCTTATCCTAGTGCTTGGCTCCCAGGACAGTATAGCTTTTGTATTTATCCTTTTTTTCCTTCGCCTGTGCCCCATACACAACCATTTTGAACAAACAGTATGGCCAAAATATTAATCAGCTCAGGTGTTTCATGCAGAGGACCAGTCTGGAGAGCTAAACCACTTACTGATGTGTAGACATCTTTGACCATTTTCATTGGCATTTTGAAACTTGAGAAAGGGGAATGAGTGGGGTAGGGAGTGGGATAGAGAAGTCTTTTTTTTTTTTTTTAAGTATATATCTGAATGAGTAACTTGATTTGATATATCATCAGTATGACAAATGCATGTATGTATATGTGTGTGCCTATATATGTATAGTCAGTGTATTAAATGAATAGATACATAGTCAACTATATCCTTTGGGTATATAACCAACTGGCCCCATAGGATGATGTAAAATTATCTTTTCCAGATCTTAGAGTTTAATCAGTCGGATTACAAGAGGTGAGTGGAGCCAGCTCCTTGATTTTGTAGTTGAGAACACTTAAGAAGCCAAGTGGTTTAAGGTTATATGCTAGTTGTTGGTAGAGCTGGGCACAGAATTCATTTTGGCTAATTCCACATCCAGCGCTCTTTCCCTACTCAGCAGCTATCTGTTCTCCATGAAGGTTGACCATTAAGGATGGCTGTAATGTGTCCCGGTCAGGGGAGAGGCAGGCCGCATTCGTCACCCACCCCTGCAGCTCACTGGTGAGCTTACCTCTGGATGTCCCCAACCCCTTGGAGCCTTGATTTCCTCACATGTAACCTGGTGATGGTGCCTGTGTCACAGGGCTCTTCAGGGGTTCAAATGATGTAATGCATGTTAGCTTATTTGTTTCTTTCCCCAGAGACCTTCACTTATTATAAACCTTCAGTAAATGTATGCTTGTATAATGTCATTCCTTTAAAAATTATTCTATTAATAAACATTCATTATAAAAAATCATCGTGTGCAGATTAGCATAAAGAAGAAAATGAAAAGCACCCATAACACCATCATCCAGAGATAAGCTCACCTTTCTTATGCACTTTTCTCATTTAATTTTGATTGCACTTACTATCTGAAAAATACAGCATGAAATTCTATATGTCAGTGATCCATTAGAGCAAAACACTTCACATTAATCACAAGAGAAGAGGCTGTAACAGTGCCTCATCATTATTCTTTCAGAAGAGTAGAACGTTACTATAAAGAGTTATACCAGTTATGCATAAATACATGCATCTGTGTGTTAAATGTCCTATTAGTTTTTGCTGTAATCTTATTACTTCTTTTCTCTCTTGTAAGATCTAACTCAAGGGGCACCTGGGTGGCTCAGTTGGTTAAGCATCCAACTTTGGCTCAGGTCATGATCTGGCAGTCTGTGAGTTCGAGCCCCAGGTCGGGTTCTGTGTTGACAGCTCAGAGCCTGGAGCCTGCTTCTGATTGGTTTCTCCCTCTCTCTCTCTCTCTCTCTCTCTCTCTCTCTCTCTCTCTCTCTGCCCCTACCCCACTCATTTTCTCTATCTCTCTCTCTCTCAAAAGTAACCATTAAAAAAATAAATATATAAAATCTAACTTGAGTTGTAAATGTATCTACCAGCAATTTCTTTTTTCTTAAGTATAATGAATTGTCCATTCTACTACAGACCTTGAAAGTAAGCGTGACCTACTTGAGCCGTTGAGGGCCTTTGTTTTTATTCACGTTGTGTGTGATTAAGCTGCAAAACCTTCTCAGGTCAAAGGATTTTACATCATTGGGAGGGGGCATGTCAAAAATCAAATCAGTTAATTTTGTATCTCCTCATTCCAGAAAGGTGGTATATAGGTCCCTCTCTGTGGAATACATTTTAACATTCCAAATTTCTAGCGTGGTTGGTCTTTTTCTGTTTTTCCTTCCTCTTCATTTTGTGGCCTGAAGATAGTGTGCTAAAAAGATTGGTTCTGTGAAAGGAGTTTGCCTTCAAATTGAAGGTTATTTGAGTAATGGTTTGGCTCCTCTATTGATTTTTGTGTGCCTATTGCCATGAACTCAGGTGGTTTTCAGTTCTTAGACGTGCTGTGGTGATTTGCGGACTATCCTTGGAAGTGGGAGTGAGGAAGAGCTCCCCCAGTGCCCAGGAGCCAGGCAGGGGTGGGAGTGGACAGTGCCACATCCTGCGTTCCTGCTCCCAGGGCAAATACAAAACCCTGTCCCAGGGAGGGCCCCCAGAGTCACAGTTAGAAAGGTATGGCCAAAGGAATGGGTGGGAAAAGGGAGCAGGCCGATGCAGGCCCTGAGGGTTCTGAGAACAGAAGAGTTGGTAAGAATGATTTGGACTAGAAATCATCCACAGCAGGAAAGCGGTGGGCTCATGCTGGGATCCAGCTTTCTTGGTAGGATGCCCTGCTAGGGGGTTAGACTCCTTAAACGGCCCCAGGTAAATCAGGCAGAAAACAAAATTAGGGATTAGGAGGTTGAGTTATTAGCCTTGAGCAAGACTTTCCCTGAGTGTTATTAATGACACTCCTATTTAGGAAAATTTTGCTCATTTGAAGGCTGTTTGTTTCAGTACTTAGAGTTATTGCCAGTACTGGCTTGCTTCCAATCTTGGTAATCCTCTGAGGTTTCAGGGGGAAAAGAAAGTGTTTTTTTCTCCCCATGGAGAAATAGGTTTATGTATAATTTAATTATTTTGTTGGCCAGTCACCCTATCACTGTGTACAAAAACAGCAACCTTAAAACCCCACTATCTTCATTAGGTGTCAAGATGTTCATGATTGGTTTGTCCTCCATTACGAGTGAACATGTAGCAGAAAGATGCCTTGCTAAAAGCTACAATACACTGACACACTGAGTCCATATTCTGCACTTTCAGGGATGCCCTTGAAGCCTTGCAAAATATTACCCAGTGATTTAGAGTAACAAGAAGTGAGATGGGTGATCAGTTTCAAAGAGGAATTAAAGTTTTGAATATTCTGTAGCGAAGTCATATTTCAGAAGATCACCTTGGACAGTATTTTCATCAGAGGGAGTTTTGGAAGGTTCTTTTTAGGACGGAAGAGTGAGGAGGGACGGAAGAGGAGGGAATGTGTTCTCCTTTATCAGTATCTCGTCTCGCTAATCCCTCTCCTTTCGGTTGACTTTCTTTATTCATCGTCTTGTTTCATCTTTCCCTATTATGCTATTTGTGGGGAAATTTTTTATCCTGACGTGTTGCCGTGAACATTTTGTGACTGACTTAGTGTGAGGCTGACTTCAGATCTGTGCTTTGGTTGCTCATCATCCTTCTTGTATGAGGATGAAGCTCTCACGATGGAAAATGCTAGCTGCGGTCCATTCGAAGCCTTCACGTTGCAAATATGCTTCATAGCAATGTTTTATTTAGTGCATTTACAAAAATTTAATTTGAATTAAATAATTCATTCTGCTCTAAGAATACAAGGTACAGATGTTTGCACTGCTGCTGGGACCAGCTGAGGCTTCATCTGCTTGTAGGCTGCTTTTCGGCTGATTTTGCCTCATTTTTCACATTTGTGGAGCTCCAGATACTGCTTCTCCTGGTGATATTGCTGTAAGGTCTCCTTAATTAGACACGGGCATCCAAGGCAAGCTAGTATTTTCGTATTTTATGAGTAGAAGCCATTTCAGCTTTCCTCCTGGGGAGTCCTTTTGAGTCTCTGAAGTCATTCACAAATATGGTAGAGTCTAATTTTATGCCACAAGAAAAAAAAGAGAATATTGCTCTTTTCCTATCCAGGGATTCCACCCTCCCCCAAGCTTTGTTCCCCTCCACTTACTGCTTTCACTTCATTTGCAGCAGCAGATGGCTTTATGCAAATCACCCAGTTATTTTGGTCATAGTAAAAATCACCTTGCATTAAGAGCAATTTCTAGATTAGGGAAACTGCTGTGTTTATTTGAAAACACACCCAGGGCTGGAGGGCAGACCATCCCGACCGAGCCTGTGTCACTGACCTCCAAGGCAGTGGCTGTACGTGTACCTGCCTGCTCGCTGGCCCTCCGAGTGCCCCCTGCCCACTTGCTCTGTTCCTACAAGTCCATCTCACCAGAGAAAAATTGTAGAAAAAAATACTTTACATGGCTCTTTCTTAGCCATCTTTAATAATCTCACTGCATATTTGTACGTGGGTAACGTGCCACCTTGGAATTGTATGGCCAGCAAGATTAGTCAGTGCAGTTCTCTTTTTTCTTTTATTAGAAATGGTGATTTTTGCCTACTTTTCTTCCATAACCTTTTTGAATTTCTGTAAAACCTTTTCCTCTTTCCCCCAACTCTCAACTTTTGTGCATTTGACAGAGCAGTCCATCTTCTAGAATGGCTCTCACAAGATTACTGAGGTGGTTTTTTTTTTTTTATCCTTTTTCCTTTGATCTCTTTCTCCAATAGTTTTTACCATCTTCTTCCTTGAGATGAGATAGTGTGCAGTGAACAGCCAGAAAATGAGGGAAAGCCTTGATCAATTAGCCTTAAATGATCAGCTGCTTTCCTAATTCTGAGATAAAAGATTGAGCTCCGTGCCTAAAATGCCCTGCTGTTTCCTTTCCAGACATGCCACAGCAGATAATGAATCATTCCTGCCTTCCATTCTCATTCCCCTGCAATCTCAGTCTTGTCCCTTTCTGCCGTAAGACCCCCTCTCCTTCTGGTGGAGACACGTGAGGCTTACTCGGTGAAGGAATCGGTCGCTGTGAAGTACTTTGAAGGACAGATGTAAAGTGTGGACTGTGGGCTCCACAAGACCTTTGCTATTATTGTTTCATCTGAGGGGGCACCTGTCTCTGTACTACTAGATGAAATCATGAAAGTCTGACTGATAGTAGTAATAACCACTTAAATGTAGTGCTCACCATGTGCCAGGAAGGGTGCATGGTGCTTTGTTCATACATGAATTCATTTCCAGGTGAACCAGCATACTTAATGTCTCCGATGTATTTTTCAGGTTGAAAACTGGTGTCCTCATTTACCTTGGAGAGCAAAAAATCCCTATGAAGAAGCTGATCATAATTCATTGGTGAGTTGGGATGTTGGGAACTAGGCTTACAATGTGGTTCTGATGCTAAGTAATACGTGTGAACTCTTCTAGAAATGCCAACTGTAACCTGAAATAATGGTAAACTGAAGAACTTGTATCCGCAGGCCTGTGCAAATTTGGATGGTCAAATCAGTTAAGCCGTAGTGTCTGTTTATTGAGCAATTCTCTGAGGGTTCCTGAGTGATATGCTACCCATAGGAATAAGACCTGGTGCCAGATGTGGGGGCGCTGTGTGACCTAATGAAGGTGATGGTTGAAAACAATGTCCGCACCTGTGCAAATGCTGAATGACAGTCCGGTGGAAATGAATGTGGAAGTGATGATCTTTACCTTCAGGGCTTAGGACGGGTCCACAAAGAGACAGTGTCTTTAGAGCTGAATTCCAAATGATGAGTGAGTTCATAGTAGATCAGGGAGAGGAAGGTGTGTCTGATGTGCAGCAGAAAGGTGCATGTGCAAGAGTTGGTTTTCAGGGAGTAGAGCATGGTTCAGTGGACGAGGCCATAGGGGTTTGGATGAAGATGGTTTGGGGGAAGATGAGATTGAAAAGATCACGAGTGACTGTGAGAGGTTTTCTGTGCCACCCCAAAAGCTTAAGTCTTTATTCTTTAAACCAGGGATCAGCGGAGTTTTTCTGTAAAAGACCAGATGGTAGGGGTGCCTGGGTGGCTCAGTCGGTTAAGCGGCTGACTTTGGCTCAGGTCATGATCTCGTGGTCTGTGAGTTCTAGCCCCGCGTCGGGCTCTGTGCTGACAGCTCAGAGCCTGGAGCCTGCTTCGGATTCTGTGTCTCCCTCTCTCTGACCCTCCCCTGTTCATGCTGTGTCTCTCCCTGTCTCAAAAATAAATAAACGTTAAAAAAAATTTTTTTTTTTTAAAAAGACCAGATGGTAAATATGTTAATCTTACCAGGCTGTAAGGTCTCTGTTGGAATGGCTTAGTTCTGACCTTGAGTGTGGAGGGCAGCATAGACAGGATATAAATGAGCAGGCATGGCCATGTTCCAGTGGAACTTTAGGTTACCAAAAAAGGCAGCAAGGAGGATGAGGATCGGGCCCCCAAGCCACAGTTTGCTGACCCATGCTGTAGACCATGAGAATCTTGGGAGATGGCTGGGTCAAGGAGGGATCAGGTGAGTTTTGAGAATGAAGTGTGATGACTCCTGAGAGAGGGAGTTAGCATGTTCTACATGTTAGATGAAATAAATACAAGTTTTACTGTTTTTCTGTTATTTCAGTCACTGGTTGTATCCAACTACATTAGAAAAATGTTCTTCCTGGCTTTTAAATTATTCTGTCCTGAATTTTAAATTTTATTTATTTATTTTTAAAATTTTTTAAATGTTTATTTATTTTTGAGGGAGAGACAGAGTATTAGTGGGGGAGGGGTGGAGAGAGAGGGAGACACAGAATCTGAAGCAGGCTCCAGGCTCTGAGCTGTCAGCACACAGCTACAAGCGGGACTTGAACTCACACACTGCAAGATTATGACCTGAGCCGAAGTCAGATGCTTAACCGACTGAGCCACCCAGGTGCCCCCTGAATTTTAAATTTTATTTAGCTGTGGTAGGAAAATGGTATTCCTGGCTTTAAAGTCCTTAGAAAATAATGAACTTTTGTTTGTTTGGCACTGGGACAAAACTGTAAGATGAGCATTTGTCCCCTGCTTAACTTTGTGGGCACAAGAAGGCTTTTTGGCATCCCCATAATGCCAACAAGCCTGTTATGAATTGATTTTACTTTTTCCTGGAGTCTGCTGCCTCTCAGTAGATCCAAGGGGTGATAAATTCGGGTGTGGAGAATTTCAAGGTACATCAAGCATACCATTTGTAAAAAAAAATAAAATAAAAAGGCATTTTAATATAACTCAGGGCTTTGCAATGACTGTGCTGCCTTTCTCAATTTCTAATTTTTTAATGATGTCCCTTACAGCATATCAGCAGTCAGGGGCCTTTAATTTGTAATCCTGGGGCCTTAAAGTAAAGCTGTGCAGCAGACAAGCCTCACTTTTGAAGCCCTATATTTAATTGACTATCTCTTTCAAGTTTTCAAATGTCACATCATGACAACTATTATGCTTTCTGACTTTTTATCTTCTGTTCATTTTTTATTAAATTTCTGTTTCTAGGCGGAAATCCGTACAGATTTTAATATTCTCTACAGCATGATGAAAAAGCATGAAGAATTCCGGTGGATGAGACTCCGGATCCGGCGAATGGCTGATGCATGGATCCAAGCAATCAAGTCCCTGGCAGAAAAGCAGAATCTTGAAAAGAGAAAGCGGAAGAAAGTGAGCTTCTGATTAATTCAGTTCAGTTAGATGCCAGTTTTCTTTTAAAATCGGATTTTGCTTGGAAACAAGACTAAGAGGAATGTCATGTCTCCAGTGATATTCCCTCAGGGCGAATCTGCTCAGTGTCTTGTACAGCCATTTTTGGGCTTTCCTCTCCCCAGTTAAAATAATCCTGCTTACCAGGGACCGGCACACATGTTTTTTGGGTGAAGCCAAGCAGGAATCTCTGCCTGTAAGATTTCCCTCTGAACCATCCTGACTGTCTCCTCCTGTGGCATCAGGAGACTTAACCCTCTTGGCTCTACCCAGGTACAGCCTTGGAGAGCAGGCTGTTCCATTATAACGGAAGTCTCCTGTTTGGGGTATTTGTCAGTTCTGGGGTTTGGGCAACTGGTAAGTTCTACTGCTGCTACGTTGGGTTGGTACTTGGGCTTATGTTCCTGAGAGAGAGAGATGCTGTCAATTAAACTAGAGGCAGTTTGTTTGAAGTTCATGAGGACTTGATTCGAAAACCTCTGGAATAACCCTGAGCGTGAAGGATTTTATACCCTGTTAGTTATAGGTTCAGTGGCCTTGGCTTTAGATTAACTGTTCAGATGACAAACAGCAGAGCAAATTAAACAGTCTTTAGTATCCGCCTATAAAAATTAATTAAAAATGACTTTGGTATTCCTAATTTGACTAATTTGATATCCTCAAGAAAAGGAAATACAGATGAACTTGCGGAACCCCAAGTCATACTTTATTGCTTCCATTTAGTTTAGATTCCTTGAGTTTATGAGACAACAGTTCCAAATGTTCAGGTAACAAATAGTCCTCTGTAGAAGAGTATGAGGTCCAAATTCCAGGTGAGCTGTGAGAAATAGAGTATTTTTATATAATCTTATGCAATAATCTCTAGGATATATTGTTGGAGGAATAAATATTAGGTGGAGAAATGTGAACATTATTTTTAAAAGGAAGAATTGTATGTATCTGTATACCTACAAGTATACGTAAAGTTTTGTACATACGCACACATGACCTATATATAGTATTACATTTACGCTTCCTCATATTGTTAAAAATAGAAGGATAAACCATGAAATTAAAAATAAAGGAGATGGATAATGGTGTTGGTTACACAACATTGTAGATGTATTCAATGCCACTCACCTATACACTTAAAAATTATTAAAACGTTAAATTTTGTGTTAGCATATGTTGTACCACAATAAAAAGGGTCAAATATGGGGAAAGAGGGACTAGCATGGAGGCATAGAAACTAGACTTATGTAAACACATCTTACTTTGTAGATTTGGTGCTAGAAGCATTTTACATGGTGTAAAACAAAATTTCACTACAAGAAAACCGTACCTAAAAATTACTAGGAAAAGAAAACATGAACTGACTACATACTCAGTTTTGCAGTAAACACACGGAGAAGGGCTGTTCTCAGTGACTAGAGCACAGTCAGTCAGCATTTCTGAAGGAGTATCACAAAGGACCAAAAAACTGCAAAATATTTTAAGAGTTTTACTAATTGTGTAATTGGTGATGGTGTAGATATTCTCATTGTGAATCCCTTGAGCATATTAGAATAAAGCAAAATACTTATATTAGTATCCTTGAGAGGTGGGATTTTCAGTGTGGGAGAGAGGAAATAACATATGTAAGGTAATGTTATGTAAAGATCCTGTAATCCTGAGTTTGAAGGGGAAGTACCAGAATGAATTTATGATGTTTTATCCTGGAGGAGAAATAAATTTCCAGCTACATCCATCGAAAAAGGCTATGGACACTGATCAACCAGAGTCCCCTAGGCTCCAGACCTTGAACTTTAGATATCATCTCCACTGGATGGTATAAGAGGTTCTTGGAAAAATTGTTGGTGAAAGTCTGAGATAGAAGTTGCACATGATGAGCTTGGGACACCTGTCATACCAGAGAGCAAAGTAACTCTCCAAGCCTACTAGAACTATGTCAGAAGAACTTAGAAGCCAACTTGAACAGCCTCCCATTGGCAAGAAGGGACAATGTGATAATCCATAAGGATTATAACTACGGTTTATTGAAACACATCAAATATACTTCTATCCATGATTTGATAATGACACCTTTAAAAAATTTCACTGATGGTCTTTAGAGTATGCTAAAGAGCAAATTGGTAATTTAAAAACCAGTAAGTGACGGGCAAGAGTCAAGTATTTACCAGGCTTTTTCTATGTAAACTGTACTTCAACAGAACCAAATAGTTGATGAAGAGGGGGATGTTTTAGCTAGTAAGTACAGAAGGAGTGATAGAATATGACCATTTTGCGACCCCTGTGGATTAATGCATCTAGTTAGTGATCATCAGTAGCTGCTAACATCACCAGAGACACGCGATGTCCCCACTGGCGGAAGTACACAGCACTACCGATGCAGTAGTATTGCCAGAAGCATCCAATGTGAGTTTGATCAGGCCTGCAGATCTAATTACTAATTTACTATAACTACAAGGGATGGAAGAGTCTGGTGTATAATCAGCAAAATCCAAAGTGTAAGAGACTCTACTGGAAATACTACCCAGTCCCTTGGACAAATAAGTGACAACTCTCCCCACCCCCAAAGGATGGGGTTAAAGAAGCCTAAGATGTAAATGAGACAATTAACAGTTTATGTACTTTATTTGACTTCTGACTCTAAAAACTGCCCTTGGGAGAAAAAAAAAAAAAAAAAAAAAAAAAAAAAAAAAAAAAAAAGGAACAGTTGAGGAAGTACAAACAGCCGGAAAATGAATGATATCAAGGAATTAATAGTTTTTTAGGGGTGATAGTGATGTTACCGTTATATTTTTAACTGAAGATTTTTTCCTTCTAGAAATACAAACTGAAATATTTGCAGATGAAAGGGTATCTTCTCTAGGATTTGCTTCATCATAAGCTATAGTGGTTGGGAGAAAATGAAGGGTATACATTAAATAAGCTTTGCCATAAGTTAATAACGGTGAAATTTATGTGATGAGTATGTTGGAATTGACTACATTGTCATGTCTGATTTGGGATATGTTTGAAATTTTTTATGTTAAAACCTTAAAAATATCCCAACTGTGGGGGAAAAAAAAACCCCAATATTGTTAAAACGATATTTTATTGCTCTGGCTTACTCTCCATTAATTCTGATTCTCCAAATATATCCTTATTTTTCAAAACAGATTGTCCATATCCTATTCATAGCCATAGAAAGGGCAGTAGTGACCTTATTTCCTTCCATTTTTGGGGTACTTTCTAGAAAAATGTTACGGCACATTATTTCATTAGAACGTAAACAATACTTTAGAATTGGTTGATTGCTTTTGGTGTGTTACTATGGAGTTTGTACTCGGTTCAGTAGGAATCAATATATGCCTCTCCTTTGTTTTGTTTTTTTTCAGGTCCTTGTTCACCTGGGACTCCTGACTAAGGAATCTGGATTTAAGATAGCAGAGACAGCTTTCAGTGGTGGCCCTCTTGGTGAATTAGTTCAGTGGAGTGATTTAATTACATCTCTGTACTTACTGGGCCATGACATTAGGATTTCAGCTTCACTGGCTGAGCTCAAGGAGTAAGGAGATTACTTTTCAATTTTAAAATCAGAATACAAAAAAGAAATTGTAAACTCTTAAAGCCCTCTATTAGTGTGTAATTTCTTGTGGAGGAAAATGAAAGTGATAATTCACTAAACAGGAGATAAGAAGATTATTTTCAGGAGCTAAATACATACACTGTGAAAAAGATAATATGTTTTCATTGTAGCTGCAGGCTCCAGAGGCTTCATAAATGAATGCCAGAAAATTCAAACTAAGGAGCTTATTCTTTGCTATTACAGGTGCTTCCAACATGTGCACCACAAAACATTATTGACTTTCCTAATTCCCTGTCTCTTGCTGAAATTCATACCACTCCCTACTCAACTTCAAGCTTTCTAAATCTTAAAACAGAGCAGATTCCTTTTTTATAATTTAATTTGGGTAGAATGAGTTTCTTGAAAGCTCTGATTCCATCCTTTTTTTCAGTAAAGCCAACTTTCTAGTCTGACTCTGTTCATTCTACCTGGCTTTTCTGTTTCACTGAAACCTACTTCTGGCTTTAGCCCTCTCTTAATCTCTTTTTAGATTGACACAGCTGGCTAAGCAGTTATGCTTATAGCCCCCTTCACTCCTTTTGGATAGCTGCCCACGGAGACTTTCTACCCAGCAGCCAAGTGATTGTGTTGCAGTGTCAAATGTTCCAGATGAAATGCCTTGAGAGAACATTCTAGAGCTGGAAGGGTGTTAAAATATATCCCACCCTGCGTCTACTTTATTGTCCAGGATACTGATGCCGGGAGAGGCCACATGTGTTAGGTCCAAAGTCCACACACCTGATACGTGGCCGTGTTGAGGTGAAATCAATAATATCAGCAAGATGATACAGTGTCATATTTTAAATGAGTTCTATATGCTAAAACCATGATAAGGGCATTAGTGTAGTGTCAACAGTTATGACAACTGGAATATTGATGATGACTAGTAACAACCAACATTTGTCAAGCACCTACTGTGCATCAGATACTGAGCATTTCATGTATTCTATATTACTCAGCCCTTAGCACAAACTTTTGGAAATAAGTGCCATTGCTTTCGGCATTTCAAAGATGAGGAAACTGAGGTTTTCAAGGTCACGTGGAAAACATGTGAGAGAGCTAGGATTTGAGTTTTATCCTATGACTGTGTTCTTGACCACTATACTACAATGCTTCTTTCGGATCTAGATCAACCTGAGATCTTCTGAACCCCTAAACACCACCCTTGTCCCTTCCACGTGCTGCCTCCTGCTTACTTGAAAACATGTTGTGTACATGACCCATGAGGTAGATGCATTCGTACATTCAGTAGTCGTTCATTAGTGCTCTCTGTGCACTAGTTCTTGCTCTGGGATGTAAGGAGATGACCAGCATGTGTTCAAGGAAATGCCAATCTTTGGGTAATCACAGCTAATATATTATATAATAATTACACTAATTGCACTGTGATTAGTACTAATTTAGGCATGAATGCTAGAATGTAAGCCAAGGGAGTGCAGAAACTGAATATTGCTCACTATGGTGTATGTGGCACCTAGAATAGTGCCTGGCACCCATTGGATGCTCGTGACTATTTACTGAGCAAATGAGAGATGGGGTGAATGAATGAATGAATGAATGGGTGAATAAATGGAGAATGTGGGATCCCTAGGGACAATTGCTTCCTAGGGAGATCAGAAAAGGCTTAATAAGGGCCTACCAGGCAGAGACTTAATTTGTTGGTCAAGAAGTCTATAGAGGTCTTTAAGCATTCGTGATGGGACTAGATGTGTTTTATTTAAGAAGAGAATTATGGGGGCAACACAGAGCAGCAGTTCCTGAATATGCCTGCACATTAGAATCACCTGGGGATCTTTATAGACTCCCAGAGCCCAGACTATGTCCCAGACTAATTAAATCACAATCTTTGGGGATAGGACACAGGCATGAGTATCTTGATGTCTCCAGGTAATGCCAATGTGCAGACGAGTTTGGGAACCCCTAAAGAGACAAGGTGGACCAGGAGTCTACCAACTCTGGCTCAGCGGGCCAAATGCAGTCCTCTGCCTGTTTTTGTTACTAAGTTTCCATGGGAACACAGCCACACAGATTGTTTGTTTATGTATTGCCTAAGACCGCTTTTATTCTATGAGGGCCGAGTTGCGTAGTTGAGGCAGAGAACATGTGGTCTGTAAAGATGAGAGGATTCACTACCTGGCTGTGTACAGAAGTATTTTCAAATTCTCGGGAAGAAATACACAGCCTCGTAAGGTCAGTAGGCCAGATGACAGGCGAAGAGTGCCTGAAGCAGTGTCAGTGTGGAGCTGCAGAGCAGAGCCCTCCTTTGAAGTAGGACCGCCATAATTCGGTGAAGGACAGTTATGGGGTGTGGGCAGGGATAAAAGGCACCAGTGATGACTGATGTTTGGGTGAATGGCAGTGTAGTTTGGTTAGCACTTTTTTCTCCCGCATCTGAAGTTGGCATATAATCAGGTACGTGGGTGCTCTCAATGCAAGGGTGGGTTTCTATGGATGGGTGAGGAGATGGGTGGATGGAAGAAAGGGTAGTGAAAAACCATAAACCATGGTCCCAGGTATGTAATACAGTCTACTTGGAAGGAAAATTTGACACAGAAAAAAAATAGGAAACAATATAAGACAGTATAGAAGTTTATATTGTAGCAGCTAGAAATGGACATTTAGGAGGTCAGTATGGTCTGGAGTAATGAGAACAGATTATGTGGGGGAAAGTGAGAGTCACAACTCAACGAGTATCTGATATACATTAGGCACTTTCTACTTAATGCCTCATGTAACCACCCAAAGAATCTCTGACAGGTTGCTATCTTACTGTCTTTTCTGTAACAAATCCTGTTTTGTGGTAGGTTGGGTTTTTTTTGTTTGTTTGTTTTTGATGAGAAGGAAAGACCCAGAGAAGTTAGTGACTTGTCTGAAATCTCACAGCTGCTAGTGGATTTAGATAGTAGAGACAGATTCAGAGCCAGCTCTTCCTTAGTTTCAAAGTGTGTGTGTGTGTGTGTGTGTGTGTGTGTGTGTGTGTGTGTGCGCGCGCGCGCGCGCGCCTCACCATTTGCTTTTGCCAGAGTCAGAATCTGGGCTCTGGATAGGCCTTGATGAGTGGGTAGAATTTGGATAGGCAGCAGATTGGGACAGGCTATGCCATCCTCCCCGACAAAATTCTTGGGAGGTATATTTGGGTATTAATGTTGCTAAGTGTAGTTAGCTTGAAATAAATTATTTTTTTTATGTTTCCTCTCTTGTGCCCTTTTCCTAGAATAATGAAGAAGGTTGTAGGAAACCGATCTGGCTGCCCAACTGTAGGAGACAGAATCGTTGAGCTCATTTATATTGATATTGTGGGACTTGCTCAATTCAAGAAAACTCTTGGACCATCCTGGGTTCACTACCAGTAAGTGCTACATGCTGTCCTAAAGTTTATAGAGCTATTTTATTTTTTATTTTTTTAACAAGGGTAACATGGTTACAGACAGAAAAAGCTTATCAAATATTATCTTTTGGATAGTGTGGAGCGGGTTTCTCATTCCTAATTGAAATTCAGATTTTCCACAGTGACTTTATACTTCCAAAGGCTATTCATTCTTTTCACTGATTTCTTTTAGAGAACAGAAAGGGTCCAACTTCTTCTTTACCTTCCCTGATGCTCAGCTTACCTCTCTCAGTGTGCCCACGCCATTCTCATTTGTTTAAGTAACAATTCGGATAAAACGTGGAAAATGTCACTTCTTGTGCTCCTCAAATTTGAGAGGATGACTCGTTTCTCTTCGCCTTTCCCTCATCAGTTGTCATTTTTGGAAGAGAAAGCTGTGAATACGTTGTCCGAATGCTGGGCTCTTGCACTTTTTAGGACAAGACCCCTGCTGAGCATGACTTGAGTGCACGTCTTTATCACTTCAGAGAAGAACCCATTGTTCTCTGCAGTGTGGGAGTGGGGCCATGTTTTTTTGTTTGAAATGATTTTACATCGTGCACAAGCATGGCACTAAATAACAGTGAATTACATAATGAAGTTTACCAATTTTTCCATTTTCTTCCAATCTTTCTAAAAAAGGTTTAGTTTGATGCTACCATACCTCCAGCATGTCTTGTAACACTTATGTGCATTTTTAACAAAATGACTGTAGCTGTAAGTTTCAGCCTTAGGCAAAGTATCCAGTTTGAATTTAATAATAATTTTTGAAGAAGCATGCTTTTTTTGTTAGCTTCCACTTACTACAGCTGGTACTGACTTTTATTTATGGTCTCTCAAAGTTTACAATAAATGTAAATAAACATCATATTTTATTTAATGGTGTCAGTGGTACCTAAATTTGGTTAAAAAGCATGATGTTAGTACCACTTGACTGATAGTGAATGTTGATCTACAGTTTAAACCAAATTCCTAAGAAAACATTTGGAAAACCTTTCAATTAGCATGACTTAGAAATTCCTCCATGTGTTTCTTTTTTATTGTTTTTGGGTAAAGAGATGTTTTGATGTGTTCTTCTAACTTAACCAGTAATTGAATCCTTAACGACTTGAACTAGGTCTGTTTCAGGTTAGTTTCTAGTTTAACATTATTTATTAACTTTAAGCTTATGTCAGATTGCAAGTCCTTTAGAAATTCAAAGGAAATAGAAGTCAAAATAGTAGGAATCTTCTCCAAAACACAGTAGAGAAAACACCCATTTTCTGTAGAATTTTCTTGTCAGTAGCTGTAATTTTTCTCACTGGGCAGTGAAATACTCAGTGACAGAGGAAAGGGATTCATTGAGAAGAGATTGTGTATTTTTCATTTTGTTTTGGATATAGTTTCATGAGAAAGCAAAAGCAGAATCTTGGTTTGGGCCAGGATAACACTCTACCTTCTGCACCCCTTTTTTCCTGTTCTTTTTGGTTTTTTCCTTGAAACCTTCATACATCTCAGTTATGTTCTCATCACATTTGTTCTCAGTTATGTGGAAATAACCATCTTTCTTTCTGGTTAATAAGCCATGTAAGTAAATAATCATTTTTCCCCCTTTTTAGCTTCAGTATTAAAAAAAAGAAAGAAAAGCAGAGCTCTTGTTCTCTGGCATTTAGCAAATGGCAGGCATCTGGTAGATGTGCAAAAGGAACAAGGCCTTACGGGCATCTATAGACTCACATATCCTCACCATTAAGAAGGGCTGTTGGGATGGAAAAGTGTCCTCAGTGGTAGTGTTTAGGTCAATTAAAAAGGACTGTTTCATTATTAAAATGGTTACCACTGATGGGTATTTGAAACTTGTTGGATGAAAAGGGACCATCTCAGAGGGGTTTTATGGAAGGGTGTAATATTTATCTTTCCTTTCTTTAATTAATTATCTACATTAGTGATACTAGCTGGCAGGAGGTCTGTTAGGACTTTGGCCCTGCGGTCTTTGCTATGTGATGAAGGTAAGATTTCATCCAAAGACCAAACAGGTCCTCTAGAAAGTTACTTGCCCATTTCTTTCCCTTTTGAAGATTAGACATTTTCAAGACTGTCTGAATTCATCTTTGTGGATGGTAGATGGTATGAATTCCCTTAAATCCATTAACTTTGATCTTTCATTTAGGAGCAAACCTTGAGTCCTGTTGATCTTGGAAAAAAATTTTTTTTTAATTTTTTAATTTTTTTTAATGTTTATTTTTGAGAGAGATAGAGACAGAATGTGAGTGGGTTAGGGGCAGACAGAGAGAGAGGGAGACACAGAAGCAGAAGCAGGCTCCAGGCTCTGAGCTGTCAGCACAGAGCCGAACGTGGGGCTTGAACTCATGAACCGTGAGATCATGACCTGAGCCAAAGTTGGACACTCAACCGACTGAGCCACCCAGGCGTTCAGAAAAATATTTGTAAATTCTGTCCATTTTATGTGGGGACCCAGGAAATTCAGTTAAACCTGTTTGCAATGCCTACATGCAACTAGTATACCTAGGGACTGCAAAACTCATAACTATTTTGCTTCGTATGAGTTTTTAGCTGACATTGAGGACACACAGGAAAGTGAAACACAAATAGTACAAGATATACCATGGGGTTTTTTTTGCTTTATTTTAGAGAGAGAATGTGAGTGGGGGAGAGGGGCAGAGGGAAAGAGAAAGAATCCCAAGCAGGCTCCACGCTCAGTGAAGAGCTCAGTGAGGCTCGATCCCATGACCCTGGGATCATGACCTAAGCTGAAATCAAGGCTTGAACATTCAACTGACTGAGCCAGCCAGGCGCCCCAAGATAAACCATATTTTATATCAAACTCCAAAGTAGAAAGTAGGTCCTGCCAAGGAAGTTGTGAGCGTCCATCTTATAGTAGTGTGGCTTGCAGCTAAGAGAATGTTCCAGGAGTCATTTGGCATTACTGCAGCGATTCCTGTTAGGAGGCGGCCAGCTGCCTCGGGCAGCAAGGCAAATATCTTTTTAAGTCATCGGGCTGTTCCTGATGCTTCAAACACACAAAAGGCATTAGAGGAACTACATAAATATTAACAGCACAAACCCAGTTCCAAACACACAGCTGTAGAATGTGATCGAAGAAGGAAAACTATAATGTTAAAGCTTCTCTGCCGTACACAGAGATCATTCCCCTGCCTCTGGTTTATAAAACAAACCCAGGTCAGCTAAAAAAAATGGATGATTCCCAAACCAAAGCTTAAGTATAAGGATGTAGAATTACCAGTTTCTCAGACATTCAATCATTCATTCTATGGCTTTCTGCTGGGAAGAAGCCAAACATCAATAGCACTGTGTCTAACTCTGGGCTTGCAGGCATTAGGCTCCTACTAGTCCTCTTTACTCATCAGCGTTCATCTTAATGATCCAAATTCACAATAAAACCAATAAAACACAAAGTTAAAATAACAAGCCAAAGCTAGAGAGGAATATACCCTGCTAGAGTCGATTGCAAATGAGTACAAGTAGCCAAAGCCTTCAAGACAAAGGTTTCTCATGATAAGGGTGACCTGTTCCTCCCCACTGTGCCTGCACAGAGCACTGTAATCTTTGAGTCCCAGCCCTGGCCCTTCGACAGGAGCTGAGCAGCTCCATCTGTCAGTGTGTGTCCCTCTGTGTCCTACTCTTCTCCAACGATCTTCTACAGAGCAAGCTCTGTCATCCCTGCTGTTTTCTGAACGATGCCATCTTTCGCAGAAGAAAATGCACTGGTTTCAACCAGTGGCTTTTGTATCTTATTTAAAAATATAAGTTAAAGGGTTAATTAATGTTAGAAGTTTAAATTTTAAAAAGGGATTTTTATATAAATTTTTTAATGTTTATTTTGAGAGAGAGAGAGAGAGAGAGAGAGAGAGAGAGAGAGAGAGAGAAAGCGAGCATGTGTGATGGAGCTTGTGGGAGGGGGAGAGAGAGAATCCCAAGTAGGCTCCATGCTGTCAGTGCAGAGCCCAATGCAGGGCTTGATCTCATAAACCATAAGATCATGATTGGAGCTGAAATCAATAGTTGGATGCTTAACCAACTGAGCCACCCAAGTGTCCTTTCTTTTCTTTCTTTCTTTTTTTTTTTTGTTTTTTACATAAAAGTTTTTATATTAAAGAGTATGTAAGTTAAGGAATGGGAATCTTTTATTAAGAGTAAAGGAAGTTCCCGAGCTATTCAGAGAATGGGGAAAACACACACTGGTCAGTTCTTGGGTCCCTAGCTTTCTTTTTCCTGTACTGTGGGCTTCCATTTCTGTCCACTTCTTGGCTGCCAGGCTGAAGATGTGTTCTTTGTGATATTGTGAAAATTGTCAGTGTAATGTAATGGTAGCATGTTCCTTGAGAGCCACACAGGAATCAAAAATAAGGAAACATTTTGTATGGTTGGCTTGTACTTCCTTCTGCCCTCTTCCTTTTCCTCCCTTCCTTGTCTAAACAAATGGTAGTGATCTCTGATGAGAAAATCCTCACACTAAAGTGGCAGTCTACTCTTGATTTTTCTGGAAAATCCAATCTGATGTTTGCATTTTATTTTTCTGAATCACACAGTGATGTAAAAGAAAAAAAAAGTTGAGAGAATGCCTTCATAATAGTGAGAAAAGGAAGAAATAAATGGAATCTGATACTTAGAACTCACTTGCTGTTATCTGATTCTAAAATGTGGGTTTTAAAATGTATTTGCTTTTATGCTTATTGGTCCATTAACAGCCATCCAGAAGTTTTGCGGATGTATAACCACAGAAAACAGAGCTATTTTTATTGGCCAGGCACAAGCTAAATTTACATTGATGTTTTGAGAATCAGTAATGAAATGAATGTAAGCAAATTCAGTAAGTTCTGTTTCAGCATCGATTCCTTTCTTGGGATTGGGATTGGTCACTCTCTGAGTACTCTAAAGCAGTGATCAGCAGGCTCTTTCTGTAAAGGGCCACGTAGTAAATATTTTAGGCTTTGCTGGCCACATGGTCTCTGTGGCAACTACTGAAGTTAACTGTTAGTGAGTAAAAGTAGTCATAGACCATAGGTAAACAATTAGGCATGGCCATGTTCAAAGAAAACTTCATTTTTGAACACTGAAAATTGAATTTCATCTAATTTTCATGTCACAAAATACTGCTTTAAAAAAATTTTTTGACATAAAGATCTTAAAATAAGTGGTAGAGAAGATTGGGCTGACCAAATTTGAACACTTTGCTGAAAAAGCCAATGAAACAAACATCTTCAATTTTACTTCTTCAGGCTCTGGAAGAAGAGGGTAATGTTCTGTTACTGTTAAATACTTGTAATCAACACTGCCTATTGAGTGAGATTCTAAATTCTACCTAAAATTAAATACTCTTATTAATTGATGAAAATGATAAGTGACTGTTGAAAGAGATAAGGTATGCCTCGTGCTTTCTGGAGACTAAAACCTCTCTCTTAGTCTGTCTGAGCTGTCGTAACAAAATGCCACAGTCTGAGTGGCTTAGAAATAACATTTATTGCTCACGGTTCTGGAAGCTGAAGTCCAAGATCAGGGTGCTGGTGTAGTTGAGTGAGGCTCTCCTTCATCCACATCTCAGACTTCTTGCTGTGTCCTCACCTGCTGGAAGGGACAGGGGAACTCTTTTGGGATCTCTTTTAAGAACACTGAGCCCATTCATGAGGGCTCCACCTTCATGACCTAATCACCCCCAGAGCCCCACCTACCAGTACCATCACCTTTGGGGACTAGGATTTCAACATAAGAATTTGGGTGGAGGGACACAAATATTCAGACCAAAGCCACTTCTAAAAATGGTAATTCTTTGTTTCTTCAACAACTGCTCATAGGTACCATGATATGTTCAGCCTTAGCTAGGGGTACAGTAGGGACCATGGCAGTCTACAATGCCAGCTATCATGGGACTTTTTATTTTGCTGGTATCTGAGCAATCTTCTGTAACTAGTCCGCTAAACTGAAGCAGATGGGATCTGCTTGTAATGGTTTGGGCTCAGAAGTCACACATGGCGATGTTTGGTATATGTATTCTGGAGTCTCTCACTGCCTGCCCAGTAGGGTTTCTGATTAAAAGTATTTATTAGGCCACCCCATGGGCTCAGTCGGTTAAGCTCCCAATTTCAGCTCAGGTCACGATCTCATGGTTTGTGAGTTCCAGCCCCACATTGGGCTCTCTGCTGTCGTTGTGAAACCTACTTGATACCCTGTCTCCTCTCTTTCTCTCTCTGCCTCTCCCCCACCCACACACAGGCACTATTTCTCTTTCTCAAAAATAAATAAACATTAAAAACAATTAAAAAGTGTTTGTCCATTTTTGGCTGTCCCTGCAGGAGGGGTTAGAACTTTTAACTTCGGAACTTCGGGGTCAAGGTTGTAGTTTTATCCACATTGCTTTTTCCTTTTAGGTGCATGCTCCGAGTCCTGGACTCATTTGGCACGGAGCCAGAGTTCAACCATGCTAACTATGCCCAGTCTAAAGGCCACAAGACGCCCTGGGGCAAATGGAATCTGAACCCACAGCAGTTTTATACCATGTTCCGTGAGTATCCATGCCTTACCTCGGCTTTTCAGAATGCCACCGAAGACAAATGGGAAAAGAAACTAGACGGCCATGTATTTTGGGTTATGATTTCCCAGGGCTCTTAGCTGTAGGAATGTGTGCTGTGGAGTCTTTCCCTTGGGAGTAACTGGTTTTTTTTTGGTTTTTTGTTTGTTTGTTTAATTGGAATTGAAAGGCCATGTGAGCATTTTGCGAAAAGGCTTAGAAATTTTCTAGAGGAAAAAAATGTTCAACACGAAGTATCACTGGCAACCATTTGGGAAAGTACTTCGCGTGGACTCTGGACTGGCAGCCACTAAACACAGTTCATTCCACTTGGTGCTGCATAGGGTCCCCTTAATTACTGATGAGGAATGAGGTCTTTCGTGTAGATACACTTTCAAAAAAAATAAGTCTTAATTATTTAAGCATCAAACCTTGTAAAGAAAAAAAGTCAGCTTTTTTTTTTTTTTTTAAGTGAAACTATTTTAAGCTCAGTTTCATACTTAATCACCTTCTTAAGTACAGGCCCCACAATGAAATCTCACTTTCTCTTGCTCACAAGGTGTCATTGTTGCCAAGAGCGCTGATAATTTTAGGAGGTGTTAAATGGACACCTAAAAAATGATGTCCTAACTGACCCCAGCAGTAGGTATCTGCGTTTTTCTGTTTCTGTGTTGTTCCTTTCCCACTTTTACCATTTCTTACTGCTGCTATCAATTTATCACCTCTAGCCTCATTACATTTATAATTAGCTGAGGACTGTGGAGGAAAATCCCAAATTTGATAGTGATCATGCCAAAAATAAATTTATGGTTGAAGTCCGCATACCTTGGTGATGAGATGAAGTCCTATTCTGGAAATGAAAGGTCACATGAGTGAAACATCAGTTCATTTGGATGCTCAGAGTGGAGAATTCACATTTTCCAAAATTATCAGAATGATTTTAATCCAGAGATTTTCATCCTGGAGTTAGCATCTGAGCTGTGAATCTCTTTGCTTTGCTAAGACCCAAGGGACCTGTGGCCTAGTTTTTCCCTATGTGGTTGCCCCTCCCCTTTGTCTGCAGTCACCTGAAGATGACCTTTTTCTCAGTTTCACTAAACATCACGAAGAACACATTGGACTCATGCTTGCAATGTGAGGTATGAGACCGAAGAGTTAAGAAGGGTTATGGCAATTGGGAGATGGTGATTTAAAAATCAGCTCATGGCCAAGCATTTTCTTTAGCCCAGAAGGATTTGTGAGAGCATGTTACATGCATGGTGAACATGATTATTGTTCCTGGAGTTAGATCATCCTGCTATTGCAGCCTGTCCTGGAGCACGGTTTAGGGGATAAACTAATATATGGCATGTTGGGTGTCAGATGGCTGGCCAGTACAGTAAGGCATGATTGGAGTTAGCCTTTGGTTTGACTTTGTTGTGTAACTTTGAGGGGCTGGGATGAGGTGGTACAAAATAACATAAGATGCGATCCAGTGATTTTCATCAAATCAAATGTTAGTTGTGTCTAAAATGGCCAGACTTGTCTGAATGATATGCTATGTGTATGCCATCCACAAGATGGTGTTGCCCGTATTCAGGAAATAGAAATAGGAAGTGTTCCAGAAAGTATAAAGTTCTCTTTTACAATGTTGAAATTTAGAGTCCTAACTACCTGTTTTATTCTCTGTGAATGGAGGATTTCAGCAATGTTGGTTGACTGAGTTGAAAGAAATTCACTGCTTAAAATTAAAATGAAAACATAGATTAATTCCCATTTACTTGGGAAGGGGATGAATTTCCTAAGTGACTCAGAATTCAGCAGGAATCGGGGAAAACGGATACATTTGATGACCTTTGAAAAAAAAAGTAAAAAGAACCTATGGGGCAAAAACATAAGCATATTCTATCTTGGAGGGTTGTATTCTTTAATATATAAAAAGCTTCTAAAAACTGAAGAAAAAGTTGTGTGATGCAATAGGAAAATGGACAAAGGCCATTACTTGTTTAGAGGAAAAATAAGCTTATTGCTCCAAACATTTGAAAACACATTACCCTCACTCATCATAAAGAGAAATGCATATTTTAACTTCACCAAGACACCATGTCCCAAGGATCAGGTTGTCCAGAATCCAAAAGTTGGCAGCATAGCTATTCCAGTGGTGAGGGTCCGTCTTTTCCCGCCCTGCTAGTGAGCATGGTACTAACTGGGGGACTGTAGTTGTCACAATTTAGCAAAACTACCAATACATCTTTCCTTTGAGCAGGTCATATCTAAGAGTCTATCCCAGAGATAAGTGAGCAAAAATTAAAAATGGTGTGTGCACAGGTCATTTATTGTGGCACTATTTGTAATAGGCAAAGACTGGAAATAACCCAGATGTTTTTAATAGGGGACTGAGTGAATGACATGGTCCACTGATAGAGGGAAGCAATGTGAAACTGTGAAGAGCAGTGAGGGCAGATGGGGCGCCAGGGTGGCTCAGTCGGTCAAGCATCTGATTCTTGATTTTGACTCAGGTCATGATCTCACGGTTCATGATTTTGAGCCCTGCATCCAACTCTGCACTGACAGTGAAGAGCCTGCTTGGGATCCCCTCTCTCCCTCTCTCTCTCTGCCCCACCCCTGCTTACACTCTCACCCTCTCTCTCAAAATAAATAAATACATAAACTTAAAAAAAAAAAAAAAAGCAGTGAGGGCAGTCCCCACTGTCTGGGGAGATGACTGGGATACTTTATGTGATAAAACCAAAATGCAAGGCAGCTTCTCAACCTGTTCCCTTCTGTCTAAGAAGGCAGTGTGTGCGTACATTAGTGTGTATGGATTTGCCTGTACTTTTGAAAGAAATTATGCAAGCATAAATAACAAGCCAATGAAAGTGACCTCCCTTGGAGGAAAGGTGTGCAGGATCAGGGATAGAAAGTAGATGTTTTTTTAATGTACCTTACTTTGACTTTGCAACCATGTAAATGTTTTATGTAATTAAAAAAAAAAATCATCACTAAAAACTGAAAACAGATTGAAAACATGAAACAGGCTCAGTGTTCTATCTATCAGATGAGTGTGAGTGTCCCACACAGAGAAAACAATTACTTCGGGAGTGACTTTTAAAGCTCAGTCTTTGGTCCATACATTCATAATGGGAAATACTTAAATTGATATTTGAAGCCTTTACAGGTATACTCTAAGAGCCACAATTTTCAGGATATGAAATCAGGGGGAATATTTAAAGAATTTAAGTAAAAACTGTATAATCTTCAGCTTAAGTAGGAAGTATCAATATAAACTCATTCTTTAAGAAGGAAACGTTTCCTAGCTCTGTACTTTGAAAAGGATCAAGAGTAAAGACAACCCAGTAGTAAGGAATATCCTTGGTGCTCAGACTGGGAACCCTTACATACCTTTCCCACAACAGGGAACCTCGTACTCAGATAAATAGCTGACCCCAGGTCTAGCGCGGGAAACTTTCATAATGGGACGTGTCGACATGCCAGAAAGCAAGGAAACGGGGGTGGAGTCAGAAGGATGCCCGAGTCAAAGATGGGGTAGTTTGAGAATCACAAAGAACAGCTACAGAGGACTGCAGTCAAACCGGTGACAGATACTCCATGAGTCCAGGATGATCCTCCAAACAAGAAAACCCACAAAATCAATCTGTCTCCCTTTCAAAGTTGCCAGGGCACCACTTCAATACTCTGTAAAATAAAGGGAAAGAATCCAACTTTGATGCTGCCTTTCTAGGACAAATTGTACTTGAAGATAATCAAAGAGCTGATGAAAGAAAATTGTTAATCATGAAGAAATCACAGCTAATAAATGCCAAAGGAATAAAGAATTAGAAAATCAGCATTTTGGGGGCACCTGGGTGGCTCAGTCAAGTCAGTTAAGTGTGTGACTCTTGATTTCAGCTCAGGTTGAGCCCTTTATCCAGCTCTGCAGTGAGAGCACAGAGCCTGCTTGGATTCTCTCTCTGCCTCTCCTTCTGCTCTTCCCCTGCCTGCACTCTCTCTATTTCTCTCAAAATAAATAAACTTTAAAAAAAATCAGCGGGGTGTTTGGGTGGCTTAGTCGGTTAAGTGTCCGACTTTAGCTCAGGTCATGATCTCATGGTTCACAAGTTTGAGCCCCATGTTGGACTCGGTGCTCACAGCTCAGAGCCTGGAGCCTGCTTCAAATTCTGTCTCTCTTTCTCTCTGCCCCTCCCCCACTCATGCTCTGTCTGTCTGTCTCTCTCTCTCTCTCAAAAATAAACATTAAAACATTTTTTTAATAAACTTAAAAATATAATCATTTTGGTAGTCCTGAAGAGACAGTTGAGCAAGGCAGGGGTCGTCTGTGGTTGCTTCAGCCATCACATCACAGATTGATGGCAAGCTTTCTCATGGATGACACTCTCTTAAATGGAGGAAATAGGGACATGAAGAAGGAAATTAAGCAGTTTGAGACCTTTATCATGTTGTGATGTGTCTGGGCTGGAGAAGTGACACAAAACAGTGACTCCCAAAGCCTGCCCACAGAGAACTCGAGTCCCTCCTCAAGAGGGGGTCCCATTCTTTCCATGTGTCAAAAGGGTGGATCCGGTCTACCATAGTCATCCCCACAGAATCCATTCCCTCACCTTCCGGATAAATGTGGCTATTCTAGTGGTCTGAAGGGGAAGACTGTTGCTTTGAACATGAGGAAGTGTCAAGTTATATTTGTATATTGTTAATTTTTTTTAATGCGACAAATTTACTAGCGTTTACTGTGTGGGTTGATAGTAGGCACTGTGTAGTTGAGGTATAAATCTGCACATGTATTACAGGTGCACTAGATGGTGCTCTGCCGGTAAGTTGCAAAATGGAAAGTGTGGCTCCGCAGAAATAGTGTTGCACTTGTAGAAGTCTGTTGTCTTTCCAGTCCGGCTGTTGTGTGACCAGATTTAGCAGTGTTCGGGCACGTGTGGAGTGCAGAGGGAGGCTGGGGAAGCTGGTCAGAAAGGACCCAGAGGAGGATAAAAAAAGAAAAGGCACCA